GTTCGTATCCGAAGTTCGAAAACTTACAAAGGGCATGTAGGGTAAAAACTAGGTCTGTGGATGATCCACGGGACGAGTTTGATTCCCTGAACCCCGGAATCACATCCGAGCTCGGGAGCGCTCAGAGCTTACCCTATAGGGGCTGGCGCCACCGTCCTAACTACGCGTCAAAGGAGCCAACGGGAGTATCGGGCTCGTCAGAAGAGTTTTATGCGGCTTCGGTCAGGTATTCGGGTTGGGAACGTTGAAGTACCCGTAAAGACAAGGATAAGATGTCCGTGGGTTCATGTAAAGACTTTGGACGAAAGCAAGCGCGCGATGATCATAAAAGGAAGCCAGACTACTCAAATTACGATAGATGATAAAATTTTTCGATCCTTATAAAAAGCGCTCGCCTTTTTATCCACAAATAAAACGGAAGGATAAAGTCTTCGCCGTTGATCAATCCCTTTGTGGGATGCGGCACGCATTCTACTTCCATTCAGAATCGTAGTGGCTTATTGAATGCGATGTGGCCTATGACTTGCGGTGGCCAGCCGATGTACAAGTCAGTGTTTTATCCTCCCAGACGAATCTGGTACCAACCGTCCCCGGAGGGTAGAAGGCTTGGTTGGCCTGGGCGGGAGTCGACCCGGGATTCGAACCCGGGACCGCGCGAGTGGTAAGCGCGCCACTTGTCACTACACTGCCTCACTTTCTTCTGATGCATTTTTCAAAAAACGTTGTGCATCCACACAAAATTCTTCAAAAAACTTCCATACTTAGTACTATTGACATCAACACTTATTTACCTATAGTGATTAGCTCAGAATAAATATTCAAAAAAGTCAAACAAATAAATCACGCATTTGTGAAAGATATGGGTTCGACGAACGGGACTCTATCCAAATCACGCGGTCCCACGTGCCACTCACCCGAACGTGATTTGCATAGAAAAAATGCGGACGTAAACGTAAACGTGCTAATATTAACTTGGTTCATCGAAGTTCTGGAGTTCTTCATGTCATCTGAATGTGCCTTACTAATAATAGCGTAACGTCATATGGCGAACAAGGAGTTATTGAGATACTGTCATAAGAATGCGATACTATCATAAGAACAATCTCGGAAAAAGTGCTCCTTGAGAACTCGTTTCATAAAGACATTTTTATTCTCGAGAGTTTATTGAATTACCCTTCTCTTTCTTTTTCTCTTTATTCAGATCTTTTTATTCAGTTCTTGGGGACTCAACTCCCTACTGATGTACTATCAGTTGTACTGGACATGACCTTACAGTCTCCCACGAATAAAGATGTCAAGGATAATTTGCTGATAATTCTTAAACAGTAAGTATAAGTAAATTTCCTCACTGAAGAAAAAAGCAACAAGAGCCCTAAAGAGCACCACAAACAAAATTGCTCCCTTACAGTTACACCGCCCTGCGGTCCCTAGGCGGCATTTCCCAGTAGTGGACAGACGACCAATCCAAGAAAAGATATATGAAAACAACAAAGATGCGACAGAAAACTTGAAAAGAAAAAAAATCAAAACTGAAATTTGGTTTTACGTGCAATGTGCGGCTTCTGGTGCCTGTTGAGCTTTCTACACCATACCCGAAGTTCATCTTCTTATTTTTACGCGTTTCGCCTTACGAGATGGGTTGCAGTTGGCTGTATGTGCTCCCAATGAATAAAATGTGGTGAAGGAGAGCAGAATTATTCATGGGCACGAGCGCGGTCAGCAAAAAGGCATGCACTTCCGATTAATGCCGTCCGTCAACAAAGAACAACTGAGCGGCTCTCCGTCAGAGGGCAGCTAGCAAGTAGGGCGGTCCAACTGGGCGGGCGTTAGAACTAGAACTTTGAGCGGCTGTAGCTCGCTCCTCGCTCACTGTGGAGTCGCGAGAGTGGGACAGTATCTAGCTTGGGGGCTGAACTACCTGCACAAGGAAGGACGACCATGTACTACTTGAGCGCGGGGGCTGTCTTTAAACGTGGGCTGTTCAGCTTCGCCCTGATTCTGCTTCTTGTGAATAAGAACCTGATGAGGCTCTGCTTTGATAGATTTTTCACAATTCCTACCGAACCGCCAGTCTTTCCGTTTTTCCACGGTTTCCATGTTTTCCTAGTTTACTAGGCTAATATTTGCCCTTTCAGGAAAGGTGGGGAGTGTCGTGTAAATCGACGCCTCAAGGCAAAGTACAATCCTAAAACAACGAGCAAAACCCCTTACTCAGCTTCTTAGAACAAGAAGACAAAATGTCGAAAAAAAAATTTTTTTTTTTTTTGACCAAAAACACACCCCCGCCCCTCGGTTCGCCAACCTGCGACGTGGCCCTGATAACCTTTGAGACTACGAACATCGGTCTGCAATCTGAGACCCTGGGAAGGGGTGGGAGAATTTAGCGTGAACGCCACCTGAAGTGCGGTTGAATGCCGTTCTTTGTTATCTTCGTTAAGGTTGTCGTGAAAAAACATCTTTTTAAGCTTGTTGAATCTGAGTGCTTATGTTAGAGTGCATTACACTCTAAACACATTTGAGAGGTCATAGCACTCGAAAATGAGGCTATGACCTCTCAAATGTGTCACACGATCCAGAAGGCGATACTGGAGCTACTTTCAAAATGTGAAAAACGGCAAGAACTCCGCTAGAAGCTGACCAATTAGGCCCATGGGCACCCCTTAGGCCCATGCCGACCCCACCGGCTGCTAGCTACTAGCTAGTAGCCACTATGCTATCTCTCTCCATTCCGAATGGTGAGAGTGAGGTGATAAGATAAAAGAGCTGATATCTTTATGATAACGACGAGTGGAAATTCGTACAAACATGCGTTTTCTTTGCTGCATTCACGTAGAAGCTGGGGCCGATATGGAATTCTATTGGGAGTATTTAAGATTGTTTTTCTGCTGCTTTTCTAACTAATTAATTACCTGACACTTTTTTGTTCGTATGTGAGTATGAGTATGAGTGTGTGTTACCCGCAATCTATGGTCGCGGGCTGTGCTTTAAGACTTTTTGCAGGGCGGCTGATCGACATCGTGTATCACGAAATTCAAACGACTTACAATTAGTGATCCCTCCTCCTGTGCCTGCGGACCGTTTGACGACTCCTTCTGTACGTGCAGACAAACTGATTATTCCTCCCCCTCTGCCAACTCTCGCGGAACGTCAAGAATTGTTAGTAATGAATGGCGCGCACTTTCCTGGAAAGAAGTAGGTATCCTCAATAGTAAGCTATAGCAATCCTGATCAATCACTTAACTTCGTCCCCAAATTTTCCGGAACA